TCCCCCCCCCCCCCCCTCCCGCGGGCAGTGCTACTGACTGAAGCGTCTTTAGGCCATTCCCAATGGGGGTACATTGACATGTTATTATGCACAGACCATCAATGATTTATTTATAGAGGTACCAGCCATCCATGTCCAGGTGCTGTTTTAGCCGTCATTATGCACAGTAGAATTGTAAATGGGCCGATTAATCAACGTCATGCTCATACTGTGCCGGAACAACATAGAGGGGCCTACTTCTTTTTCTTTCCTCATCCTTACTATCGTCATTTTCCTCTACTTCTTTTGTATATTTGTCACTCTCTTGTGAATTGCTATGTCCGGGTGTCTTGATAGTCGAAGCAAACTTTGTGCTGCTGTTGAGGCTAGAGAGGTGAGCAGAGTAAGCCTGATTCCCCCTTTGGACTTCTCCGTTGACATCCACTCTTTGTATGCAAAAAATAGTCCGCGTTACAAACTTCCCTTTAACTCCGCTCCTCTTAATAGAAATTCTGCTGTTATTTTTAACAGTATAGTAAAGGCATTATAAACAAAAACAAAACAATGAAGGAGGTGGGGGGTCACCTGGTTTCAGAGGTAAAATTAGAGGGAAAATGACCGAAAAGATGAATTATGTCCTTAATTTGAGAGCCGGTAAAAAACTGAAAATTCACTTTTTTGTGCCTTTAGTCTCCGATTGTTCTAGTAAAACCGACATAGAAGTGTGTTCTTTAATAGGCACGAAAGGTGTTGAGCCAAAAAAACAAAAATTCTTTGAAAATTTACAAACCTAGCGAAAAATGCCAGTTTCTTCACTTTGATTATTTTGACGAGCGCAAGATTTCACAAACCCTGCTGTTTCTCTACAGATCCTCTATATGGGTATTGCGTCTTTTGCCCCAGCTACAGCTCTGGAAGCCGGTAAGTGGATCGCTGCTGGCTAGATTACCTGTCAGGGTGGTCATGTGTATTTGATAGATAGATAAATAGATAGATAGATAAATAGATAGATAGATAGATAGATAGATAGATAGATAGATAGATAGATAGATAGATAGACAGATAGATAGATAGATATATAGATAGATAGATAGATAGATAGATAGATAGATAGATAGATCGATAGATCGATAGATAGATAGATAAAAAGATAGATAGATAGATAGATTGATAGGTAGATGTGGGGGCATGTATGTATGTATGTGTGTGTATGTATGTATAAATATGTAGTTGTATATTATGTATACATATAAACAGACAAATGCAGTTATAGAGATTCTTTTACTACATAAATAATATCATATGGGCAAAATATACTGCTGCTGTTTGGAAAGATAGAGGGATGGGAGATCTGGGGTAGACAAAGAACAATACACGCATATGACCGAAACAAATTTGGAACAAATAACTAGGTCAAAAGATAGATGGAAAGAAGAGCAGAAGAAGACAAAGAAAAACCGACATATTGATGGTCTGAACGACTTTGTTACATAATATTATAACTGTACGAAAAGATTGAGAGAGGAAAAAAAGCAGAGGAAGATAAAGAGCAAGACACACATACATAAACAGACACACACACACACACACACAAACACACACACACACACACACAAACACACACACACACACACACACAT